CATTGGTCTTAAAAGCAGGGGTCATTTCGTAGAAAAATAGGTGCGGGAGCTAATTAGCATGACTCATTAGCATAACTTATTTGCATATGCCACACACCCTGACCTCACCGGAAGTGTGTTGGAAGGCAACGCCCACCGCTCAGGCTCCATTGGACTGTTTTGGACTGCTAGCTATTGGGGGGGGGAACGTGCAGATCTGCCCTCACAGAGGAGGGAGAGCTTGTACCTGAAGGCGGGGGGGGGGGCCTCTGCAACTTACCTAGTTGCTTCTTTAAGACCAACAAAGTTTATTTCTGGGTAGAAGGTTTCGTGTGCACTTTGTGTGTGCATTTTTAAAACTTGAAGAAAGTGGCACCTTTAAGACCAACAAAGTTTAATTCTGGGCGTAAGCTTGCGTGTGCACTTTGTGCCTGCACACGGAAGCTTACGCCCAGAATTAAACTTTGTTGGTCTTAAAGGTGCCACTGGACTCAAACTTTGTTCATTTTAAAACAAAGTAAAATTATCTACTCCAAACAAGCCTGGAGCTGCCCTTCTCGAAAATCTAACTCTGGTTTCATCGATTAGCTCCATTTGTACAGAGAGGCACCAGAGAGACAACGTTCAGGGTTCAAATTCTGACTCAGGCAAGACGCTCACTATGGCCACCAACCCTCTTTCCAGATTAAGTCACCTCTGAGTCATTGCCGCAAGGAGATTAAATATGAAAGGGCGGCTGGCCCAGCTCAAAGGTCCGAGCCCAGAGTCTCTGAGCACAACCCGCACCCAGCCCTCGGGCTACATCAACAGGGCTTGAATGCCAATAGAGCTGTTTGCTGACAAGTAATGTTCGCTGTGTGCAAACAAAGCCTGTACTTCCAGACTGAAATTAGGAGGCAAGAGATGAGAGGGGTTCTAAAAGGGCAGGCCTCAATAAACAGTACAAAAAGAGCGAGAGTCCAGAAAAGAGCAAGAGTCCAGGAGCACCTTCAAGACTAACAACATTTGTGGCAGGGGAGGAGCTTTTGTGACTCACGGCTCACTTCTTCAGATATCTCACGAAAGCTCCTCCCCTGCCACAAATTTTGTTAGTCTTGGAGGTTCTCCTCGAGTCTTGCTCTTTTCTGCTGCTAAAGGTAAAGGTTCCCTTGCTCGAAAGCCAGTCGAATCCGACTCTAGGGTTGCGGTGCTCATCTCCGTTTCAAAGCCGAAGAGCCAGCGCTGTCCGAAGACGTTTCCGTGGTCATGTGGCCGGCATGACTAAACACCAAGGTGCACGGAACGCTGTTACCTTCCCACCGAAGTGGCACCTATTTATCTACTTGCAATTTCTTGCTTTCAAACTGCTCGGTTGGCAGGAGCTGGAACTAGAGACAGGAGCTCACTCCGTCATGCGGCACCCGGGTCTCGAACTGCTGAACTACTGACCTTCCACAGCCTGCAGTTCAGTGTCTTAACCACTTGAGCCACCGCAGCTCCACTCACATTAAGAGCCATGCAGAATGGAAATCCTTATAATCCTTGTAATATAAGGACAGGTGGACTTCCGTTCAGTGTTCCCTCTAAGCTGAGCTAGTGTGAGCTAGCTCAGTTTTGTAGCCTCCGGCTCACACATTTTTGCCTTAGCTCAGGAAGGACAGCTCCAGAGAAAACTCATTTATGCAGTAGCCAAATCGCTCGCTCACAACTTTACGGCCTATAGCTCACAAAGTAGAATTTTTGCTCACAGGACACCACAGCTTAGAGCAGGGGTGTCAAACCCATTTGTTATGAGGGCCGGATCTGACATAAATGAGACCTCGTTGGGCCGGGCCATGCATGTCATAAATTGTAATGCCAGATAACGGAGATATAAACTTTATAAAGGACAC